TTTCCACACACAAGATTACCCTCGTTCTATAAGTTTTATTTTATTTTTTACTTTCGACATAAGACGAAAAAAAGAATAAATGAATCTGTAAAGAAAATTTAAAGCTTGATAAAGGCATTCCTGATATTAACATCCGCCATTTGGAGTGCTTTTTCCTGAGATGTTTTTACTGTTTATTATGTGCGGAGAAAATTACTTAACTTTGCTTCGTTGGTTCACAACAGTTCGGACCGCATTCTCTACTCTTCGTCGCTGATTGTCTGTCCTACATTTTTATACATAATAAAGAAAATGTTTGTGTAGATTAGTGTATCGTAAAACTGCCGTTCACAAATTTATCGTTTCGTAACATTTTCGAAAGTTCGAAACAGTTTTAACGAAAAGTTAAGCGTCTAAAGACTTCAAATGACGTTAAATCTATTGCTCACGGATACGAATATATATCTAAATGTTGCACGAGTAAATGTTGAACTCTACATACTCTAGCAAAATTATATCTCGTTTGATGTCACTTACACGAACATTCTTGGAAGCATCAACGTGATGATACACGCGAGATGTGAGTCACATTCATCGCGTAGCTACCTCACACGCGCACATCTGTGTGTAGGGGGTTGCGCAATGACGTTAAATTATCCATTAACCACTTTAGAGGACATTAAGTCAGTACGGCCGCGAAATTTCGTCGCTTCACCGTGTACGATGCCTTAGAGGCAGATCCAAGGTGCCTTAAAGATGTAGAACGCGGTTAACAGCACGCATTTACACCGAGCTCCGAAGCCGCGGAATGTCTCAGACTAACTGATACGGTATGACATAAATTCCCTATAGCCTCTAAGAGCACTTTGGGTAAGCCACATCGTCGGTTTTCTTACGCAAACGGTATTTTCATACAAGTTTGAGTGTACCGTGTCATGTATATTTGATTGCGAGATATTATATGTAGAGATCGAGACATTCTGGCATACGCAGTACATACCTATACATTATATATATAAAGATATATATATATATATATATATATATAAATTATATATATATAATTATATTATTATAAATATAAATATATATATATATATATCTTTGTAATAAAAAAGTTGTTCTATAATCTAATTTGTAATCGAACATTAATAGATTAATGTTGCATTCTGAATGACGTTTGAATAAATGCTTTATTGCTGACAAGGAACAGAATAAATCTAACGGCTTAAGGGATTTCTTGCCTGTAGTAATGGTGGCTCTGGAACTATATTAGCTCTTCCGATTTACCGTCGGTGTCACCGTTATTGCACTTGAGAATGCTACATAATGCAAAATGCAACTGGGATTTACACGCTGAATATTATTGTACCAGAAATATACGTAGGTTTACATGCGTGCGTAACAATATATATGAGTTATTCGTTATATAGACCAAGCAGAGAGGTATGTGCATTATTGCATATAGAGAACATTAATCTTGAATATTACATACAGATAGTTACCAAGTATTATTAAACCGCGCTCGCGGCGGTATTCACGAAAAATCGACCATCCACATCATAATTACGACGGTCCCTTGTTCACTTATTCAGATTTATTTAAATAAAATTAGTCTGGCATAAAAAATTAATATATCAACAAGTATCGTGAGGCGTTAATGCAAATGCACTAAATCCAATAATCGTATTTCCAGATCTCGTATTATAAGAGACTTTTCAGTCTGATGCTTATTTACGCTAATAATTAATAATATTTATATTCAAAGAGAATTAAAATCGACCTGTATAACGAATACTTTATTTATACAATAATTAATATTCAGATAGAAATTTTCTTCCAATATTAGAGATTTACTTATTACATCTTATACTTTATAGCAACATCTTATACTTTATAGCGATAAAAAAGTAGCTATACACGCTAATCCTTTACGATTCATCTCAATCGAAAGGAAACTAACAAAACGAACTAGTACATTGGTGAGCGCTACTCTTTCTTTCATGAGGTGGGAATAGGGTTGTAAACTTGAAACCCCTGAGAGAGACCTTGTCCATATATCGTTATAACACGGATACGCGAATGGCTGGATATGACAACGAGACATCACCGGGGGGATGTCGTTGACAATCCCTCAACGACATATCTGATATACATGGCTACGCGTTGAACCCTGAATGTTTCACCCGAGACCCGAAAGCTCCGTACGTCATCATCCATACCGACGTCTTCCATTCATTACAACAGTGCAGTTGGAGAAATATAGATACCGGGCCGCGGTAGAGGTGAGGTGAGGTATCCGCGCGACGAGAGGCGGCAGTCGGCGGTGGAATAGCTAAATCGCAGCGTGCGGCTTCGTTGTACGCCGCGTTTCCTGAATTCCCATTCTGACGCGTCCGTACGTAGAACTGGATCGTCATCAGTTTCCGTATGTTAGTAACCAAGACTGACGGCCCATCCTGCCGCGCGAGCGCGAGGAGGCGATGTGCTTCGCCTTCGATCAATCAACCCTGCCGCTTCCGACTCCACTCGTTCGGGTAGGGGGTGGAAGTCGAGTAAATTACTGCGAAATAGGTGTAGCTTACGCCTTACCTATTCTGGCTGGGTAGCCAAGTCGGGATTGCACGCCACAAATTATCTGCATAGAGACCCACCTACTAATTCTCTTTTTGCTGCCGTTACTGTTTTCCATCTCCCGCTTTTCCTCCGCTTACTTTTACGCTCGCGACAATACGCTATTTTCAAAAGTGTCAAAATGCAAAAGAATTTGCAAAAAAAAACAGATAAAATTGCATTCTTTGGCAAGATAAATAATTATCTCTTTCTTTTTTATACATTCTCTCACTCTCACTCTCTTTCACTTTACTTAAAAATATATGTCAATGTTATATTTTATCTATAATCTTTAGATTACGTGAAATACATACTTCGTAATAGAATATGGAAAGCTTAGAGTAATTTTAGACAGATAGGTAGACGAGTGCTTAATGTTCCCAAGTAAATTACATGAAAACCGTATTAATGGTTCCAGTCTCGGCCTTCGTCACAAAGTTTGAAACTACTCCGCGAGAGTATATCAGAAATAATGTGTGGACATACGTGCAGGGGGGCCAAAGTTTATACGCGATTGAGCTTAACTATTACGGCGGCGAAATTTATCCTCGCAGATTGGATTAATTATATTAGTGCCTAATCAAATTAATGCGTAATATATTTATCAGGCTTGCAAAGAAATACAGCTTCGTTGCAAAATTAACCATGTAATGAACTAAATGGTTCAGTAGGTATTACAACGATGTATCATTTATGAGCGATGAAGCATATAACTATTGCATACTATCCTGCAAATAGCATTTCAATCCAATTTCGCGTTGCATCAATTCCATTCGATCATAGTCTATTGAGCGCACAGTGCGTTAGCCAATGAATGTTGCTTTGCCAATATATACCTTATATACACGAAGTATAATGTATGTATAAAGGATAATCGAGAGATATACGGTTCTTGAGTATATTTAATGAAGCGTAATCAAATATTGTGCTGTAATGTGGCAATTAAACGCGCGCAACACGTAGAACAAATAAATAACAGTGCAAAGAAAATTTATTTTATATAACAGAGATGCAATAATAAATGCGATTTTGCGACGCCAAGTGTTTTACGATTCCTTTTGCACGCCATTTTCGATCGGATGCTCTTAATTAGCAAGAATCTTTTATGAACTTGCTGGCGTGAGCGCGGCACGTTTCTCGCGTTTATATCCCGAAACACGACTCTAAACAGTGTAACGCCGGCGCGTTATATCGTTCGTTCGTAATTATTCTTTTCTTTATAGTCTGGAAGAGAGTTCCGATGTTCTCATGTATGTACGTTCAATTAAAACAACTCGCGCGAGTCGAACTAATACGAACCTATTAACGACGAGGGAAGAAAATCCGATTTCCGAAGAGTAACGTCTAGACGACACGGGCTGTGGTACGACGAAAAGTCGGAAGCGCGAAGGGATGAGTGCATTTAAGCGGAAAACGCAGATCGAGTTGAATACAATATCTATGTATGCCACTGCCTGACGCCGATCCATTTCTCTTTTCATCTCCATGACAATTCTTAATTAAAGATACTGATGACATACTCAAAGCTGACAGTTACGGCCGTCGCAAGTGACTATTAATCTGATTTGGTGGAAATAATAACAGCGCTGAATGGTGGTCCGTTTCAGTGCTAAAAATAATTATCTCTAATGGTATGGTTCCTACAGCTCGGTGTGACAAGCCCGGTTAACGAATAGTGGCAAGCGCGAATCTTTTTTCGAATTCCGTGTGGCGCGCATTTCTATCGGCGGACCGTCGATTGAAAATCAAACCGCAATATCGCAGCTCGCGATATCCGATCATCGAGGTTAAATTTGATGACGGAATTACTACTATTCACGGAAACGGCGCATCGATGCGTGCTATTGTTCTCTTTGTGACACCACCAGAACAGAATCGAACTATTAAATATTAAAGAAAATCGATACTCTTGCGCAGAGCGAGAGCGAGAGCGAGAGCGAGAGCGAGAGCGAGAGAGGGGGAGAGAGAGCTAATTCAGGATACCACCCTCGCATTGGATAATTCGACGTGGGCGTGGAGAGCACGATAACTATGATAAACGCTTGAACGTAACGCGCGATCAACTCCACGCTTTGTCAACGTTATATCGCGATGAAATAGATGCACTTCAGTCAAGTTTAACACGTTAGATACTACGCAACGCGAACTCGGAAAAGATAACGCCACTTACGTATGTTAGCCCACTCGATCAGGTTGACGGGCACCTTGCGAGCACCGGAGGTACTCGGGGAACAATACACTTCCGGAGCGGCTGACAAAGACGCACGGCGCGTACACCGGAGGTTCGGCATCGACGGGAGGAATGGGCGGGAGGACGGAGAGGAGGACGTACGTTTGATTTCGTGTGGGACGGCGCAATACATCTCTCCTCGGTTTACCGGTCGCTCGCTGAGACGGAAGTGTATCGTGCCCGACGAAGCGGGCACATCCGGCTCGCAAGATTAATTGCCAATAAACCTCTATTACAGAGACCTCTTCCCGCACCGTCACTCTTCTCACGATATCGCCGTCGTTTCCCGGTCAATCGCTTCGTACGCAACAACGTCGATCGCCTCTACTTTTTAGTGAGACCCCTTGACGAGAATAACGAGATAACCCGGAAATTAGATTATTCAGCGTCACGCTTTCGCAAAAGAAAGAGAGAAAAAAAAGGAAGATGCGACGAAAAATTATTGATCACACAAAAGATAATTTATGACAGAAACGGTGTAACATAACTCAGAGACGCGGAATTTATTCCTCACGGTTATAACGATTCACGGCGACTGTCACGATTATTCACGCAATACGAGCTGTCTCGAAACAAAATGCGCTGTCTCGCAAGAAGATTGATAATTTATTATCCCGCTGTGCGAAGCGTCTAAATTTAGTCTACGTCCTGAAAGTTTGGTATTAGAAGAATTTGTGCGATGAAAGAAAATACGCGACGCGACATGAATGCCCATTAGCAAAATGGCAAATTTTATCAAAGAGGTATATTATCGTGGAGATATCTGGCTTTATTTCTAGAACTAATATGTGCATTTCAGTCTAAGTGTTTTATGTTTCAATTGATACAGTGTGAAAAACATTACTAACAAATTATAACAGGTATGCATGTGTTTTTAATTACATGATGCATGACTTCGCGCTTGGAAATTGCATTTATGCAAATGGGGTGACTATCTGAAAAATTTGACATAGAAAAATGATGCCGGTTTGCGTGCTTAGAAGCTGCGTGATTATGCATGCAATAAATCTCGCTTCGAAATCGCCAAGTGAATGCTTAGGAACACGTGCGAATCGATCGTAGCCTATCTTGCACCTCGGCCTGGTAATCGAGGGAAATTGCTTTCATCTGAATTCAAAAGCATGTACGGGAGATCAAAGTTCTTACGTGCCGGCGATGACGAAACGAACGGACGATGGTGCGAAGAACTTATCACGCGAGCGTCGATTAAAGTTTCCACTTTGCACCTGGTTTCATGAATTTCTCAACCATGATTGATCGTTCCCGAAGCTCTTTGAAAATTGTCACCCTCCGTTCGGACACATTCCGAGAGCGAATGTTAATAAAGGATGACAAGTACATCTAATATTACTGGCGACTCATGAATAATTTCCTATATTAATCCGAACTTTTGGCTTTCCCTCCTTTTCGCGTGTGTGACGTGTAGGTTCGCCATATGATTGACGCAATACGCGTAGTATGGAGGCCGACAATACGTTAACCGTATAAGAATACGGACGGAAAAGTTTACCGCTTATGAGCATCGACAGAATCGATACCCGCATATCACGAAGGTATATAGAAGGAAAAGAGGGCGGCTGAATGAAAGAGAGGGTAAATTGATGGAACGGTCCGATTAAAAGCTAATGACATCGCGTTTCTACGCGAATGACGGCTTCAAAGGAAAGCTTTTTCTGAAGTTCGTTGGCTTGACAAACGATCGTAAGACCAACAAGAAACGGTGTCTGGCGCGAACCATCTTAATGAAATGGTCTTAATTGAACCAATTGATTAATTTTTCTACGTTGTGTGAACGTAAAAATTTTCAATATGCTTTCATTAATAAACAGGAAATAATGTGGAAGATAACAAATGTTAAATTAACAAACTAGAATAGAGAGAGAGGATTAAATAATTTGTGATATGTATATACAAAGATATATTACAAAGTGTAAGAAATAAATTTCTTTTACTGTCCTTTCGCTCTTTTATATATTTGCCGGTAAATTTATAGTTTACCATTTGTTACTCTCTTACATATATATCTGGCACATGAAAATAGAGAAGCGTCCCTGACTACTATTGCTACTACTATTATCTATTACCAACTGGCGAACTACGGATGGAGGTCCAGCTCTGAAAAGCGGATATTTGTTTGGGCGACTCTGTGGAAGTCCATGAAAGTCCACAAATCTGAGAATATCCTTTCTAGATTTATAGCAATCTCTGTAATACCCGCGATTTCCAAAAAGAGTGGACGTGCGGGAATATGTCACTCTCTATGTGCGGCCGTTTTCTCGGGGAAATCCTGCTCTTTCACATGGCAGTACGTGCGTCGCGCTTGACGTATGCCACAAATTATTATTTTGACATTTCAGATCGCCCCTTACTCCTGCATCAGGAGCTTCCCAATTTCCCGTGTCTCGCGGAAATCGTGATGCGGAAGCTTTCATCAATCATTTCAACAAAATGAAAATATAGATGGCCGGCGGCAAGAAAAATTATGCAGAAAAAGGCTCAGCGTGCCGAGATACGTTATTGTCTTTGCTTTTTTTTTTCTCCTCGAGTTACATTGCGTTTTTCACTTCCCAACTGTCCAAGAGATGGATATTAATTAGCAGGTAGCAGTACAATATACGTGCTCAAGCACGAAATAACAAAGGGATAAATGTCGTTAATCGCGGAACATTTAGAACAATCGCTGCACAGAATGTAGATTTTTCTTGCGCCAAGGGAGCAATTAGGGAGGTCTCTCTATATTTAAATTTTAATGCCTCTCAGTACGTTTCGATGTACCATTTAAGGGGTAACAGTGATTCATTAGAATACATTAAAAAGTCATATTACTCGGGCGGAAATATATGTTATCAAAAATGGTTGGCAGAGAAAATTTATTTAACCCGCGATGATGTATAACGATCGCGATGTAACAGTGCGCACGCCGTTATAAATCTCCATCGTATTTCCATCCGTAATTTGTGATGTTTCCCTTATCTTTACACATAGATAAGTTCACGCTTTTGTATCAACTCGGGTAATTTATTGGAAGAACGGGCTTAAAATCTCTCCTTCTCTTACACTCCTCCCGTTTGTTACTCATTCGCTTTTCGACTACCCGGTGAATAAAGCCGATGCCGGGTGTCGCCGCATCTGGCGCGCCCGGGGACAATTAGAGGGACTCATGAGCCATCGGAATTAACACTCACAACAGCGCGGGCGGAATATTTACCGGCGCGTTATGCGACCCGGTAGTGTGCGTGTAGGGCTTGTTTGTGAGACAATAGACTTGCCGAGTAAGCCGTCCCGAGAAGCGCGACGATACACCGAGAATATCCCTCGCCGAAGAGATCGTACAGACGCTCGCCGTGGAGATACTAGGGGCGGGCATTATATCGGTGATTATATCGGTAGATGCTGATAGTGAGAAAATGGAACCACGATGTCAGCAACTGGAGGATACCACCACTCCAGGCCTCATTGACCGACCACTTCACCTCACGTCAAAGAGGACAATACCGATCGCGAGAACCCGCCTTCGTCGTGACAATCGAGCAGTTTTCTTCGGTGAAAAAAGCATTAGGGCGACAAAATTGTTCGTCAACGTCAGACGAGCGCGTGACGATTTATCTCTAGAGCAGCCAGATCAGAATCATACGGTCATTATTAATAGCATATTAATAATTGTAACAACAAAATATTAATTATTAATTAAAGTATACGACTGTACAATGATCTAATCATAGTTGCTGTTTGATTTCAGATTGTTGACTTTTTGCTACTTGGCAGCGCTAAATTGTTGGTTGCTCCTGTGCCCGGCTATACTCTCGCACGATTGGCAGATGGGATCTGTTCCTTTGGTTACATCTTTTACGGACACCAGAAACCTGGCCACCTTTATATTCTTCGGCGGTTGTCTGGTTCTCACGTACAAAGCCTTCACAGATTTCGAGGTGAGTGTGCAAAAGTTGATTTAGTCGCGGATTGTAGTCAAATTGCATTACAATTAAACGGAATATTTACATATAAATTGCGAGCAACGCATAAATATTCCTTCAAGCGTCGGAAAAATCGCCTATTATTCCCTCTTTATGAGGTACGGTATTGAAGTCAGTGCTTTAGTAAGAAATTTACTGAATTTCTACGTGAAGTCCTTTATTTTAACGAATCGACGTAAAGGAAGTTATTCTTATCAAGTGGTTGGTATCGTAGATTCGTCGACGTTATCGGTCACCTTACGAGATCATAAAGCGGAATGACCACCAGTTATCGTCTACGAAATGACGATCCCGCGGTTAAACGTTTTCAGCCGTGGGCCGGGCGTAACATAAGAAACGTAATACTCCTGTCGTCTTTCGTCCGACAATGATGAAATTGCGCTCGACTCGAGAGTCGTAAAAGAAGTTTCGTAGTAACTACATAACATAAGCTTTAAGTCACACGGTAAGCGCACGTCTCGTAAACCACTTCTGTCCGCTGTCTTTTGGATCGTCCGTGACGGCCGTTGAGCCTTCGGCATAATGACCTCTTTAAGACTCGTTGTCTGTACGTCGATGGTCACTTTTCCTCAAAGAGGTCATATCTGTGCTTTTAATGTCATCTCACACGCTCGACTGGCCGCCGGCGGTTACCTTAGCTCTTCGCAAGCACCAAGTGGAAACAGATGTCTTCTTCTCAAACGGGGTCATCCTTACTCTTACGCATGCAGCGCATAGTAATGCGAGAGGAGGAAAGATCTTTTTACAAGTGTGATTGCTTTTTGTCAACTCGTGTGTACGTCTGAGAATTTATTGCTTGGCATGGTTAACGGTTTTACAAGTGTCTCAAAACTTATACATATTAAATTCTTTCTCATCTCAACATGACGTTAACATTTGCAATATTTTTTTGTTAAAGAAAATCAAGATAATGAAATTATCTTTATAGTGGAAGTTTCTATTATATGTTGTATGGAATATTATTTTTCTAAGATTTCGTCTAATATATTGTAGATTTAGAACGCAATATAAATCATATGTTATTACGTTAAAAAATTATTAACTAAATAAATTATTTTTGGTTTAAAATAACGATGTTTACTTTCACATATCAAAGTTACATCTTTAAGGCCTATCAATAGTGCTATCAATGTGGCTTGGCGACATGATGTTTATTAAAACATTACATCTATCTATTTAACAATCATATAAAATTTTTCTGAAAATACAATAGAATTACTAAAATAATTTGAATCGACAAATAATATATATTATTTATATGTATATATTATATAATATATATTGTTTTCTAATTTCTAATTTTTATCTAAAATTATCTTTTTGCTTTTGATTATCAGTAAATACTAATGACGCCGTCGATACTTGTATTGTCAGTTAACAATCAACATATTTGTATTAATATAATTGGCTATTTCAGGCAACTTTTCAAGAAAGTATATTATCCATTCAATGTACAAATTGAACGACAACGATATTTTTGACGAATCTCGTTTATTTATATTTTTCGATATTACTTTGAAATATTGGAAATATCACGATATTTGTAGCAGTTTTTAAACTTTCTTCGCTGTTGCTAACGTTATTCTTACTTTCTGCTATTCGGTCTTTTACCAGAGAATGTCGTTCTATTGATTCTCGCTGAAGATTTGTATTATATTCCTGTTCTATCTGTGCGCTTCTGCATGGAATTGGATAACGATGACGTTGTGCCGCCACTTTGATGTTTGTTTTTGATAACGCTATGCTCGTTTCTTGTGCACAGTTATACATTTATAAAGTTATTTTTCTATTTTCGTTTTTCATATACGTGCCATAACTATGACGTCAACTACGATCAGACATTGAATTCTTTCATATCAGTTTGTTTTGTCGACATGATGTTTATTATGATAAAACAATTTATTTAACAATTATATAAAAGTTGTCCAAAAATAGAATTACTAAAATAATTTCAATCGATAAACAATATGTTATGTAGTATATATTGTTTTCTGATTTTTATCTAAAATTACCTTTTCGCTTTTGATTATCGACAGAAACTAACGATGCCACTGAATTATTATATATATCAGCTTTCGTCGTACGTTTTCAAAATTGCTAGAAATTGCAGAATTGACTTTTTTCTAAGCTTGCAATAATTTTCTCTTTTTTTTCGAAAGATTATTTAAATTCCGTTATTATTTTCATTTATGATTTTACATAGGAATTATGTCACTAAGTCTCGCATTAATTTATCTTGAAATTTGTTCTAAACTTTTCTGAAAGACATCGTCCGCGCTGACATCGCGACGCTCGCTGTAACTTTCCAACTTTCTTTTATAATATCGCTAATACGTTCGTGTTGCACTTCCGTACATGAATTGAATGACGTTACCTCTTCCATAACTCTTAACATGCATTTCGCATTTCGTGAAGTTGGTTTTTTCTGTCGACAACAGCACGCAAGTAATTATCTTGTCTTCCTTCCGAACATTTAGATTATTCTATGTTGCGGTTGTAATACTTCTTCCATCGCGTCATTTTTTACATTATTATTTATTTATGTTATGACCCGTATGGCACTTGCTATAATGGTTATGATAACTGCGTTAGTTTGATTTATTATTCTTTTTATGCTGGCTGTGTTATTCACTGTGGGCTTCACATTCATTGGAAATAATCGTTGTCAATTTTCATAACACTTCAACGCGATTAATAAATTGTTCTATCTTTTTCAAAAACCATTAATAATTAATTCTGTTCTTTTCAAACTTACAAATACTTTAGCACTATACGATCATTAAATCGATCATTTCTATATAAGATGTGTTATGTCGGATGACTTTTCTTCAGACTCACGAGATTACTTATTACTGGCCTTCATAATTTTCCTCGCGTGAATCCAACGATGCAATTTTAATTAAACGTTAACACTCACAACTGAAATCATCGTTTCTGCAATATTATATATAATTTCTCGATTTCCTTCTCATGTTTAATTCTTATTCTGACGTTCTGTCAGCGCGTTTTTGCATCCGGATTGTAGGATTTGGCTGAAGCAGCAGTTGAATATTGGTATCCGCTAATACTGCGATGGACTTTCTGATTTCCTAGATGCATTTTTTGAGTGCGCATGAGATAGCAATGAATGGGCTAACGGTAAATCGGCCAGTGGATGACTTTTAATTCCACTGAAACCCATCTCAATCTCCGTCGCATCATTATCAATTACAGAGTGAGTCCTTCCTAGAACGCCATAGTCGTTCTCAGTTTTCATTTTAACTGTAGTCGATCCATCATCGACTGATGGCGACGCGAGCACGTTATTTGTATGCTTGCTCCCTTTTTCATCAGATAAACTCGACGAGAATGACGTCGCATTGTTGGCGGCAACACTCTTGATCCCTCGAGTGATAATGCTCGATATCAATGTTCACAGATTTCCGCGAAAACATGCTCGTGGAAATTTCAGTTATTAACATGTTCCTCTCATCGGTTTTTTTTCCAACTTCTTCCATCATTTCCATCGATGTAGAAATATGTAGATAGAAGAGCGTTGGAACTTCGTCGATATTAAAATGTATATTCTTATTTCCATATTTTTTTCATGGTGTAAATTATTTTCAAATTGATATCGTTTATGCATATCCTAGTTGTGTTCTTCCAGCGAATTAGAACTGCTGTTACTTTCTCGTCGTCTAAATTATTTTAATCAATTTTGTTATAAATATTCGATGTTGAAATTTTCTCTTCGATGCTCCATATGAATACATATCTACCTTTTCACGTTCGGGTTCAGGTTTGAATAATTTTCGAAAAATATAAACTTTTTCTCATATTTTGCTCTCTCGTTCGATGTCTTGAATTCATATGATTCCGCGGCGTGAGAGACATGAGATGCATAAGCTTTAGATGAATCCGCATCTGTCCATTTTATGTGTTTCCATTTTGATATATATTCCGTTCCCCCCATTCTCTTCATCTACTGTTACACAAAAGTGCATATATGCCGTGCATATGCCTGCGAAGATGCATGTTGCAGTCCGGCGTTCTCTTCATCGTCGTGGAATAACGATCCGTGCGTGTCGTGCGATACCATAGGTTTATGAAGCATTCCATTTGTCTCGTAAACATGCTTCTCTCCCGAGGTAATCTGCAGTTTAGGCGCGATATGTGTTTCTGATATTCTGATTTATGCAATAATTTCATATACCAACCCTCAGCATCCACAGTATCGACCGTTGTGTAATCAGCGTACATTAAATGTATGTTTTATTTCGTGATATAATGGCACGGATAATAACGTATTAATTTGAATATACTTGATACGGAGATATAAAATGATGGAATATTTTTGATCATCGAAACGTCTGGTTATTTTTATGTATTACGATAATCAAAAAACGGATAATTAAAAATATCGATGTTTAATAAGAGAACCAAGACAAAACCAGATAAAACTCATTTACTAAAATAAAATCGTAGTTAATGTAGTTATCATACAAAATTTTATGCTATGTTGCTCTTATTAACTACTCTTGTTTTTGCTGGAGTCAATATTTTACGAGCAGCGATTCGACCGTTTAAAGTTGCAGTGTTGTTTTATCGAATCTCAAGCGTTACTTGTGTATTCTTTACATAATTTAAGTCCTCGTCTAATATCACCTTTATACGAATTAATTGGCAAAAGTCTTAAGATGGATGTTTTCTCTCACTGTGTATACATGATTTAACTCATTTACATTTTCATCGTTGAATTTTGTGTGCTAAATAAAAACTAGATAAAAAAATTTCAATAGAAACAACAAGCTCACTGAAGTCTCTATTTTTGTCCTCATTTCTCAATAAAACATTGAAGACTGTTGCTTGTTGTCGTAGTATTTTTATACTCTTGCTGGCGATTGTGTGAAAATATTTCATTTCCTCGCAAATGTGATGGTTCAAATGTTATTTTAAGATATGATTGTTTTATGCATGATTTTATTTCACATCATTCAATTTTATTTACATGCATAAAATTACTCCGATAATATTTTTTTATGCTGTGGAATTTATCCTTTGGATAAGCCAATTAGAAAGCGGCAAATTAAGATATATCACATCTTTTTAAATCATGACTCGTTATACATTTAAAACTTGCGAGTGCATTCAAATATAATTTTACGAGTATGCGAGTTACGTAAAAGCAACATAAACTTTAATCGAGTAACTCATCCCGTAAAGATGACGAAACTTACAGTAACAGTTTGCTGAAGAGATTTTGATGCAGTAACGTTGGATTTAACGAGAATTTCAACTGTATTTACACACACAACAAATGTTCGAAGTAATATATTACATGTATTTCTCTTTCTTTTTTTTTTTTAGCAACAAAGGCATCCGCCTCTTGTTCTTGGTTGGATGTTCCTGGTGCTGCCGTTCCTACCTGCGTCCAATCTTTTCGTCACTGTGGGTTTTGTCGTGGCAGAACGGGTTTTATATACACCGAGGTAAAATTTTGTTGAAGTGTTTACACTTTGCAATACCATCTCAACGATTGTTGGAACGGATGGCATGAATTCTTGTAATTTTACAGTGTCGGGTGGATTATTTTGATCGTCTACGGTATGCAGGTGAGCTGGGCCGCTGTACCACGACGGAGAAGCTGGATCGCTACAGGCGTAGTTCTCCTATTCGTTTTAGGATGCTTCAGAACGGTTCTTCGGAATAACGATTGGACATCTAGAGAAACATTAATCAAGTACGTGATATATAAAGGATTTACGTGTCTCATGTTTTATTAATTGTTTTCGAGCGGAGAAACTTTCATGCTTTGAATAAAGTCCTCGCGCTAACGACAAACATAAATAATCGTTCCTGCACCGCACGCAATTGTATCTGAGCCTCGCAATTACGGCAAAAATGATTTTGTCACGCAAAGACATCGTGGACATTTACGGGGGAGTGTCTAGTTCTGACTTAAACAAGGAGACTGGCGTGGTGCCAGTAGTATATATATATACGTTCAAGAACTTGGTGCAGCCGCCGATTGCCTATGTATGGGGGTCGCAAAACATAACTAAGACGTAGATATGGGATGACGAGGGTGGTAGGGGTCGTGTCGAGGTCGAGCGGATGGTCTCGTCTGACCTCAAATCGCCTTGTTTCAGAGCGGGACTGCGGTCTCTACCCTACAATGCCAAGATGCATTACAACTTCGCTAACTTCCTTAAAGATACGTCGCAACCGAACCTTGCGGTCCACCATTATCAGTTGGCTCTCTGGTAAGTATGTTTCTCTTTCTTGTGCCGTATATGCAAAATGTCCAGGTACACGTTGGAACAAAAGTGATATTCGTTTACTCGCGTGAAAACAATGACAAATAGTAAGAAACATTTAAATTTGATATAATAATGGAGAGATTATATACATTTCTCGGTGTGTTATTTCCCGACAAATATTTTTGCTGTGACAATCATTTATAAAATAACCAAATTTTACATGCATAAAAGTTTACGTTAAAACGTATAACAGTAAATAATGTACATGCGTAATACACGCAAAATAGCGAAAAACATCTCGATTTCGATGTAATCGATATAATTCAAGCAATAAAATCCATCATTTCATAAATCTCATCGAAATGCTACGTCAATATGAGAATGTTTCATAAAGATACTATACATAACTGGGTTATATTTACTTGAAGCTGTCAGATTTCAAAAGTTAACAAAAATAAATGTGTTAATTTATTCTATATTTATATCTATTTATAGTAATACACTAACTCGCTTCAATTAAATAATTCAAGTATTCAAGATGCGCAAACGAGTTGTTTATCACACAATTACACAGCTGTCGTATATCTCTTCAAAATAGAGTGGAAATTGGAAATATTTTTAAAGGATTAGAAATTTTGTTGATACAGATACACAAATATAATATATCAGAAACATATAAACTATTTGGAATATAACATATGGGCCATGTAGTTTACGTTTCAAACCTTTCCAATAATTGTAACATGTATATAAAGCCATCGCTGTTAAAAATGATAGTATTAAAAAAACAGATCAGATATTGCGATGAAGCTTTTCGCGTAAATGCGAGAGATATTCTGATTGCAAATACAGTTTACTAAAATAAGTAAAATTGCGTGGAAAGTGATTTTTCGAGGCCAAATTTGTCTAATGACTATTTAATAGCAGACTATCTAGAATAACTATAATAGATAATTATAAAAAAAATTGATTGTTTCTTTATATATGAATGTGCTACATAAATCAACCTATATTTCTCAGAATAACTTTTCACATTAATTAACAAACGATTATTTGTATAAGACATTCTGTTCCAAAAGTATCACTACAAATTTTTCATTTTTCCATTATTTCATAATCGATAGCTTCTATTGCGGATAATTGCTTTAAAAAGGGGGTTTATTATCAATCGAAATTCTATAGAAAATCTCCCGTTTATTCCATTTTGTACTTACGTATCAATTTTGATAAAAATTATGGATGAGTGGAGATCAAACACGAAATTCATGAATATGAATGTTGTTTTGTATGAAAGAACGTATCGTTACGGTATACATACGCCTGTGTCCGGGTACGGTTTTATAACTTTTATAGAGAATATCACGATGAAAGGGGAGAAAAAGTAATTAAGAAGATTTATTTATAAATTTCAGCATTACTGAGGAATTTTAATCAACTTTCGGCTTCGTACCTTCTGTAACTTTGTAATAATTCTTTCATCTTTGGGATAGATATATAGACCACGGTAAATTAATGCATAAACTCGGCGGCACAATATAATTGCAAATCCATGATTTGCATTTTTTTTTAACCAACCCGCCAAATGCTTGTTTTCTACCTTAGGTTTTCACAAAATTTCCATGGAATAATATTATCACAGAAATCTTTCGAAATAATCATATTGTGTTATGTTATTATTTCGTCTTTATCTCGACTTCTTTGCCGTTACACGATCTATTTTCACTTGCTTAATACATAACCCCCTCCGTGCGTAACATGACAGAACAGACGGAATATCATACAAGAGTAGTCGACGTAATACAATCTTATTACCACATGCAGACTCTTCTCTCTGCTTCTCGACCGCCCTTTTCTCCATTGCGTTTCTCGTGCATAGCGTGAGCAGGGGTCGCAGCAAACCGACAAAAGTGCATTAATTAGCCGTAGCTCGACTGCGCTCGAGATGAAGTGGTAACCAGTCGTTCGTTTTTTTTATTTTGCTTCCCCCC